TTTTGAACTGTGGCTCTAAAACATTTAAGAAATTCATAAGCTACTGTAATTTCATGTTTCACTTAATAGCATAAGAAAGGATAGGATTTTTCAATGTCTTGTCATGTGACAGGGTGATCTGAAGTAGTGTTGTGTTTCAGCCTGAGTGTATTTCGATCCATATTGGACAAGCTGGCGTGCAGATGGGAAATGGGTGCTGGCAACTCTATTGCCTTGAGCATGGGATCCAGCCCGATGGCCAAATGCCACCTGACAATATTCCAGAAGATGATGACAACTTCAACTCATTCTTCAGGGAATGTTATGAAAAAAAATATGTGCCAAGGGCAGTTTTTGTGGACTTGGATCCCACAGGCAAAGGAGCATGCTGTTTAATTGTATTGGGAAATGCCCATTGAAATGTAGCGAAGTATAATGTTGATGTTGACGTTGACTGGTGTGTTCACAGATAAAGTTCGCACTGGCACGTACAGACAGCTATTCCACCCTGCTAATTTCATTACTGGAAATGAAGATCCTGCTGACAAGTATGCCCGAGGTCACTACACCTTCGGCTTATCTTATACACTGAATTTAATGACTGGGTTTGCACCTAGGTCAGTCCAAATGAAATTTGTGGCGAACAAAGTGGCACTGAGACACATTTTGATCTGAGACCTTTGGTTTTCCCCTGAAAGTGTCACTCCACCGTTGCTCCATATTCTATCATATATAATCTGGGGACTAAACAAACGGCCCGTTACAGACCCAGTCCCACACAGACATAGTCTCACCCCACAGCATCAATAACAATAACAACAGTGGTATCCTCTTCATCACACAATGATTATTTTCCTGCCTTTGAATAATTAAAATAACACAAGTTCTGATGACAGTTACCTGTACAGCGTCTGGAGTTTCACAACACCCAGTCTTGTTGCCTGCCTTTCCTGATCCCAATACGATTGTGCAGACGCTACTCTGTACATTCACAGCCTTTAGTTTGTGATTGTATGAGTCTGCAACATACAGAGTTTTGTTTTGGTTACACCAAGCAACACCCAGAGGGTGCTGTAGTTTTGCATCAAACTGCTTTCCGTCTTTGTCCCCAAACGCAAACAAATTCTGAAAATCACCAAAACATTTATCCTATTCACTTTATATTTGATACTCAGGGAAAAAAAGAATGTGTGAATATCTTCACTGCTGCAAGAACTTCAAATCTCACAACAAATCAATATGTTTACTGTATTTACTTACTGAAGTATTTGAGTTTCATTCAGTCCTACCATCCAGCATCGAAAATACATAGGGCATCAGATGAAAAGATCTCCAAACTAAATTAGCATTTAACAAATTACAAATTTGTAAATTAAAGTATATTTTTGGGGAAATTAATAATGGATACATCAGATAAAATGGAATGTCTGATAATGGAAGTTCAGATAGTAGGGACTCTGCCGTATCTACTCGACAGAAGGTAACCTGTTAGGTCTGATGGTGTCATGGGCATTACAGGCTGTAAATAATTATACTTTATGAATGCACATGTAAATGTTTCAGATATGTTAAACTGTGCGTATTTGATGTCCATGTGCTATGGTCCCATACCCACATCTCGTTGAATTTATAGCTACGGGAGTAGTGCTGAGGTATCGCAAACCTTCCCATGATATTTAAATTGGGAAAAGAAGTCTGCACTTAAAGTTTAAAGATTGTTAAAGAAAATAAATATTTGTCTTTGTTCTGTAAGTTTTCAATTTTTGGTATATAGGTACTTTACGGCACTTTGTTGAAATTAATCAAGAATGTGATACCGTGACAGCAGTCTGGTAGAAAGCTATAAATGTGCTAACAAGAAATAATTTATGAATGCTTCTTAACAATCAGAGGTTGGGCCTCCAGGGTCTGTTCCAAGCCTCAAAACTGATCAGACCATCTTTTCTTCTTTTCTGAGGTTTGTATAACAATGCTTTCCTATGCAGTATGTTGTTCTCCATTCTTTCTGTTCTCTCCAGTGTTCTTGGTATATCTCTGTATCTTCTACTGTATTAGTCATGCAAACACGATCTCTAATTATTAACTGATTGCAGGTATAATCGCCTAAGGTAATGAACTCGTGTTTACAGCAATTGTAACAACTCCAATTGCAGGCAGCAGTAATACAGAGTGTCCAGATGAAAGGTAACCAAAATAAAAAATTTATATCTCGGAAACTAATCGTCAAAGACGTATCCAGTTTATGTCATCGGAAAAGAAAACTGAAAGTTTTTTCATGCCCGGCTCACGCGTGAGCTCAGTAACAATGTCGACACCACAGGAATAGGTTCAATGCGTGTTGTGGCTAGCAGAGTTTCAATCTCTTACGGCTGTCCAGCGTCGTTTTAGAACGCAGTATGGATGCCAACCTCCTACACGGAAAAGCATTCGATTCTGGGACAACAAACTGAGGACTACAGGTAGTCTGTTGCGTTTAAAATCTCCTGGAAAGACACGGACCTCTGAAGAAAATGTCAATCGCATTAGAGAGGCATTCCAGCAAAGTTCGCGCAAATCAATTCGTGCTGCTAGCTTGCAGTTACAAATTCCACGTTCAACAGTGTACTATGTGCTACACAAAAGGCTCCGCTTAAGAGCGTACAAGATTCAAATGATTCATGCACTAAAACCGACTGACAACAAACTTTGCTGTGGACATGCAAAAAGAATTGACGCGTCACCCGATTTCCTCCGCCAAGTGTGCTTCTCGGACGAGGCGACGTTCCATGTCAATGGAGTTGTAAACGGGTACAACTGCAGGATTTGGGGCAGTCAAAATCCACATGTCACATTTGAGTTGGAGAGAGGCAGCCCCAAAGTGAACGTGTGGGCCAGCTTAATTCACGACAAGTTGATTGGACCGTTTTTCTTTTCAGAAAAGACTGTGACCGGACGTTCGTACTTGGACATGCTGGAGCTGTATGCGCTGCCCCAGTTACCACCTCAAACTATCCTCCAACAAGATGGGGCGCCGCCACATTTCTGCCACCATGTTAGGAATCACCTGGACAGAGAGATTGCTGGAAGATAGATCAGCAGAGGTGGACCAATCGCTTGGCCTCCTGGGTTGCCAGATTTAGCCCCATTGAATTTTTTCTTGTGGGGTTATGTGAAGAACATCGTCTACCAGGTTAAGATCAACGACCTTAAACACCTGAAAGCCCGCATAAGGGACGCTGTGGCTACGGTAACACCAAACATGCTTCAAGCAACGTGGAACGAGGTCAACTATCGTCTGGATATTTGTTGTGCCACCGGAGGAGCCCACATTGAAATTTACTGAGAAAAAAACTTTCAGAGTTTTCCTTTCCGATGACATAAACCGGATACGTCTTTGACAATTAGTTTCCGAGATATAAATTTTTTATTCTGGATACCTTTCATCCGGACACTCTGTATGCCTGCAAGCCAGCAGGGGACAAATGTGGACATGGTCCAGACAGGGAGCAGCTCACCACTGTACCCACGAACCCAGTACACTATCTCGCGGGCCCATGTCACACTGGACCAAGCAGGTACGAGCAGAACTGAGCCATTCCAGTCTTTACTTGTGGATGAGAGGTTGTTTTATATGTCTGGTTGCTGTTAGCAGCCAGTAAGACAGTCACTGACATATATAAATGTTAACCTATGAGTAGTAGCATAACCATGTGGAAGAAAAAGTTTAAAATCATTGGTGTAGGAGGAGGGTATAAAGACACTGATTTTATAGTTGAGACTATCACCAGTTACTGGCACACAGCAGGGACTCTATAGGTACATTAGTAAGGTGGCCTATTTTGAAAGGCAGTGTATTGTGAGTTCTAATGTGTTTGTAGTACTGGGATATCTGCCCAGGATCTGGGACCATGGGTAAGCGACTGCAGGGCCATCCACTGAAAAGCTTCAGTGTACCTGCACCCCCTCCACCCCTCAGCAGGACATGTGGGTGAGTATTAAGATTTTAAGTCTCCATCTCACTTTCACCATGTACTGGTACTTCCAAAACAGTGTGTTTGGAATTATCTGCTTTTATTCCCTAGCTCCTTCAGTGACTGTTAGGCTTCAGGGGTCAAGTCCATACAAGAAGGCAGATATCCTGGCTTAGGAGCTGCTGTTTCTGCACAAGGGCGCAGTGTGGCTCCAGGACCCTCTACTGCCCCCACAAACAGCATAATTGTGATTAGAATAACCCAATTAGTGTTTAAGTTCAGTTTAGAATGAAAATAGAACCCCAAATAAAGATATGACATGTCAAGAGCATCCGAACCCTACTCATAACCAATGCAATGAGCAAGTAGCCAGTGGCAATTATGTATATAACAACTGTTTACTCTAGGAACCACTGAAAATTGATAAATACATCTGTGTAAAAATCAAGGTAGCATTTTCAGTGTGTGTCCCTCGAAACCAAACTGTCCTGGGCTCAATATGCTATGTTATTAGTATTCATTTCATGGCCTAACCTTCTCAACGGCTTCCGGAAACACAGTTAGTACTGAAATGGGATAATTTTTCACATTACTTTTATCTCCTTATTTGATATTACTTAATGGGAGATAAGACAGAGATCGGCAAGCTTTAAAAATTTGTCGTCTTATTTCATTATAACCTCATACATTGATTTTAGGTTTCAAATGTACATACCTACTACTGTGGGATCCAAGTCCACAAAAACTGCCCTTGGCACATATTTTTTTTCATAACATTCCCTGAAGAATGAGTTGAAGTTGTCATCATCTTCTGGAATATTGTCAGGTGGCATTTGGCCATCGGGCTGGATCCCATGCTCAAGGCAATAGAGTTGCCAGCACCCATTTCCGATTTGCACGCCAGCTTGTCCAATATGGATCGAAATACACTCAGGCTGAAACACAACACTACTTCAGATCACCCTGTCACATGACAAGACATTGAAAAATCCTATCCTTTCTTATGCTATTAAGTGAAACATGAAATTACAGTAGCTTATGAATTTCTTAAATGTTTTAGAGCCACAGTTCAAAATCCACACACATATGGAAGCAGTGATTCTTCACAGATAATGTTTAGTCAATGTGAAATAAGTATTGTCCATTTTCAAGACTGCCACATCAATGAATGTACAAATATATACAACTGATGTATCACATTGGAAACTCATTTCATACAGAATCTCACTGATCGTTTATAACAAATTAAATACAGACTCAACTTCCTCTTACAAGGAAATTCCATCATTTATTCAAGCCTTAACAAAACTTAAAATTTCGAATACTCAGTGGCAATAGATCCTGCATTGCCGACATGCAGCAACTGCCACATGGAAGCAAAATTAATTAATTTAGGTTATATGACAAACGTATCACACAAAATTAAAAATTCACATTACTTTCTCATTAACTTACATTTTATTAATAATAAGTAATAACGTATTTCACAGAGGTAGTACATTCCATTCGTGAAAACCATTTTAATCAAAGAACAAAACGAAAATTACATCCTCAAAATTTATGAACTGAGAAAAATACATTACTCACCATTATAGTAAACAATTTGAAGAAATATACGAAAAATAACCGTACTGGTTATTAGCAGCGTTTTGTAAGGCGTTACTACCTCACAGCGAAACCAGACGCTATGCTGACTTGCGTAACTAAAATGGAGGCATCTCATTGGTTATCCACTGGGTGTGTGTCATGTCAAATCTTATTGGCGAATTTAAGCACGAGTAATTTGTACAGCAATTTAATCTATAAACTATTAAAGGGTATTGTTAATAAAGCTATAATCTATTATGAAACAATTCGTTTTAAAAAGGAATATAAAGCAAAATATTTGTTTATTTTAAATTCCCACAGAGAGAGAGAGGAGTACGTGTGTGTGTGTGTGTGTGTGTGTGAGAGAGAGAGAGAGAGAGAGAGAGAGAGCGAGAGTGAGAGAGTGAGTGAGAGAGAGTTTCTGGGATTAATTTTAATGCATATTTTTTTTAAACGTTTCACCATAAAACAGTGTCATAACTTCAACTATTACAGACTTTCACTACATGGAAGTTGACAGACATAACCTTAAAGTTTATCATCAGTTTTTTTTAAATTTTTAATGCAAAAACAGCTGCAACAAAATTGGTCACATACACATGCATAATGTTACATTATACTTTATCAAAAATATCCTTAATGAAAGTTCATACTTTTAGTGCTGTATTTAAATGGTGCTACTGATGCTCCCACATTGAAATCACACAAACACTATGTTCATGTTGGTATTATTCATGTTACGGTACAAAAATTTCAAGTTTCGTCTATGAAAATCCTCAGTTTGTCCAAAGTTGTTGTGGAGGCTAAACTAACAGAGACATGAGGTTACTAGTCTATGTGTTAATTAATTAATATTGCTGCAAGACGCACAATACCATGGATTAAAGGTTATAATGTTCGAAGGAAGTGGCTGCCTTGGTGTATTTTGGATGACTTTGTGTGATATTGGAAGGTGTTCTAACTGATGCAGAGAACTTATGCCTTTAATCTTTAGGAGAGTGGTGAATCTACAAATGAATTAAATTGGCATGTAAAATAACTGAAGTACCCAGAGGGCGAGGACGATGAAACGTTTGTCTTTTCGCCATTTAACTACTTGGCACTGCTGGTGGCCCGAGAAGAATCTGTTATAAATTGGCATGTTATGTTAATTTATTAGGTAGAAACATAAGTGTTAAAAGAGTAAGAAGGAAATTCTGTTGCAAGAAAATAAAAAAGAAATGTAGGTGAAAGTATGACTAGTTAAATAAATACATTTTATGTCAAGTAAAAAAACATGGGAACAAAAAAAAAGTTTCTTGTTGAAATAGAGTATAATTAACTAAAGATATGCTAGTTTTCTTTCCTTTTCCTTCCCTTCTGAGGATGATATTAAGGTAAATTTCAATGTTCACTATGGTACTGCAGTGATTATTATTGAAGAAATGTTATTAAATCTATGTGTGAGATGAAATTAACAACTTGGAGAAGATTGATGGGGAGATCACTAGAATTCCATGATCAAAATATTATATTGTGATGAAGGGGATTTTTTTGAACAAAGAGGCATCAAAAGAATGTAAATGACAAACATGTAAGACATCGCCACTGGATGGATGTGAGACTTTTTAAAAGGGATCACAGGGGAACAAACAAATAAAAACATTGAATTAAGATGTTCCAGATGAAGACAGAACACACAAGCTAATTGACAATATTTAAAGTTGACAAATATGAAACAAGAGAGTCTTAAGGCCTCTCATCCACTGACCCACTTCTAGTGTAATTGATGCTACAAGAAAAGGAGTTACCTGCATAATGTTCATTACTTCACTGTTAATTTCAAATATTCAAAGAAATCAACAGAATTTAACTAAGTATTCTATTATCTGTAAAACAGCTCTTTATTGAAACATACAATATGATCAAATAGAATTTAGTAACGAGACCATGGCATGCAACCCTCATTATTTGGATACAGGATTATTCAAACATCCTGGAATGCTGGAAGAAGAAATAAACATAGGTTGGTCTATGTACAAGTCTTCATTATTTTATTGTATTTCTTCTATCAGCTTGGGTAAAAACAAACAGCTTATATAACACAGTGCATTGTGGGAAAACTGTGGAGGAACACAGATGACAAAGACTTGTTCCAGCCTGAAGGGGAGAAGAAACCTTGCTACTTGCTCCACAAAATTATTCATACACACACTTTACAACGCATATGCAGCACTTTAAATATTTTAGTACCTACCATTTGTTCACAATCTATCCAGAATTTGAAATTTTGAACAAGTACATTTTAAACTTACAAATGTTATTTTTAGAACATTTCATTTTGCGACAAGAATTTCATCTTGGAGCACACAGCTTTATTTAGGATACCCCTGTAAGCATAATTTTCAATAGTTTTGATATGTTCCAGTGATGAGCCATAGTTATAAATATAGCAGAAACAGGCCATATGGTCACATTCAAATATGCCATATAAACATTTTCATCTAGTTCATGAAGTATACCTGTACGCTTTGCCAGGCGTAACTCCTTTCAGGATTCAAGTCTTCAATGAAATAAAGACCACATCCATAGAAATCAGTAAAATCAGTAAGTTACATATCACTAAATATTTCCAGTTTTTCATAAGCCATTCTTTGGGGAAGGGGGAGGGGGGAATATTAATGAATCTTTATAAATTTCTTTTCGAATAGAAATGGTGTTTTGAGGCTTGCTTGGACACTTCGCTACTAGAATATTATTAAATGGGGACTAAAACATTTATGCAATTTCTGCTCCTTGATAATAATTCTAGTCAAAAATAAAAATATAAGACTACTATCTTCTGTTCATTTTTTTTTACTTCCATCTTGTTATCAAAACCAAAATACTGCTGGGAATTTTACATTTGACCCATAAAAATATATATGAATCATACCAACTTTTCGTTTTGAAACCTTTCACTGTTAATGAAGAAGAATATGTCAGCATGCCGATTAATACTATTTATTT